TTGTTTAAGGAACTTAGCAGAATTTTCTTTATTTCTTATACCAGGGGAAAACTAAGTAATATGGCCCACTTGATATAACTCCCCACCATTTTGTTTGGTTATATAAAAGGCGTGTATCTATCCTCCAAATTATACCCGCTTAGAATTATTATTTTTCGTTATTTTTACGACGATAAAATATGGAATTATTAGAAAATATTGATTTTTTTAACTTTTCTAATTTTCCCCTGATACTTCCTAGAAAATAACTCTTCGCTAATGCCTGAGAAGAAAACCGACTCCAACAAATGTTTCTGTTATCGACGGTAATTTCATACAAAAGCAGGTCCTCGTGATTAAACCACGATTGTCGTTCCCGTGGTTAGTTCCATTTCTGTTTACGCGCAACAATGGCGATCTACAGCCACCCTAGCAATCCTGCACTCGAGCGAATGCTCTCGTTGTCCATTTCTCTCCGTTTCACGGAAACTTCTGCCGTGCCGTCGCTCTCGACGGTATCCCGTAGTAAGCCGGTGCCAGAACGATCATTCTTCTCGTTACAAATTAAAATTACACGGCAATTAGAGTGGCTCGTTATGCAATTAAAATGCCCTCGGCAAACCGGGGTTCTTCTTACTCCGCCGCTGGTTGCTGTTCCTTCCTATTATAGGTGAAAGCGCGAACGCGAAAACGTATTCTGTGCGTAAACTTTCATAATAAATTTGCGACCAAAGTAAAGGTAGATCACACGCAATTTCAACGCTAATACCAGCAACAGGCTTTTTAGTTCCCCAGGGACAATACATTTTAATTTGTCCACGGTGTTACGTCATTTAGAGGTGAACCATTGCTGGTGGATGTTCCTTGTTGAAAAGTTTATGATGAACGTGTGTATTTTTTCTAGAGTCACGATCAGTTATTCAACTTTCGTTGTTAAATGAAATTAGTCAGGAGATCGGATCGACTGCTAAAGGTTTCATAAGTACTGGATTAAAAAAAATATGCACATAATGAAAAATTAATTTGGCTTCAGAAAAGGACGAGTAATTCATAAAATTTAGTAATTACATAAATGGATACCCATAAAAATTTTGTACCTTATGATTGAAGCGAGACGATACGTACAACAAACGTTTTCCATCGCGTAAAAACTTGGTTGCCTTAATTATAATCCCCATAGAAGTAACGGGCGGCTATGAAAGGATTAATTAAAACGGATTACCTGGAACGTTAATAATACGACGCGTCTTTCAAACGGTACTCTGGTTAAGCGATTTACAAGCCGGAAATGCGATTTCCTTTGTAGTAATAATTTCCCTCTCTCTCCGGCTCTCGCAGTCTAGCTGTGCTTCTTTTTATATTTTCAAAGTTCCCGCGACATCTGCATCACCGCCGAGAGAAATTTTCCGACCGCCCCGAGCGTTCTCACTCCTTTTCGTTGGAGTTCCTTTATTCCGATGGAAAGTTAACTTTAATTGGGTCGACATCGATCGCTCTAATGAGAAAAGTTGTAGACCAGAAAAGAGAAGGAGAGGGGGGAGAGAGGGAGAGGAGTAGAGATGGGGTGTGTCTTCTACGAGTACTAGTTACGCGGACGACGCACTGTACGTCGAAACTTCTTTTCTCTTTCCCTGGTTAGTTCCTCTGACAATTATCCAATAAATGCTACGTGGTTTCCTCCAAAAGTAATGAGAATACTTGTTTTATCACTCGAATTGCTAGGACTAATAAAAATTTAATTGCTACGATCTGTGATAGGTACTAAAACCTTTTAATCCTCAAAGGACGGACCAGGGGGAGAGTCTCAATTTCATATTATTTTAATTTTCTAGATTTTACACTGTTTCTTTAAGAGTTGTTAAAAAATCTGTTTATTTTTTTCTTAAAATTTTCTATTTCCTCAATTTTTATTTCTTCAAATTGGAATTACATGATTCACAATATAAAAGTAATAAGCACAAAAGTACAATAGGGTTTTGATCGCGTTTGATAAAGTATAGGATTGAAAGATTTATGTTTCAGTGTTTTGCATACGGTATTCATAAATTGCACTGGACGTGTGAAAAAACACGAATGACAACATTCGATATCGTGTAATTGGAGCGTTTGATGGATCCGTTCAGTGCTCTCATCTTATTTCCATATGAATCTGCATTAAAAATCGGTTTAATGTTAAAAAGAAGAGTGTATACAGATGTTATGAAGTATCGACAAATATGTTTTCAAAAAACAAAATGATATGTGATTCGTTAAGTATTAAATTTATAGTTTTGTTTGGGGAATTTTTTACAAATATCAATGAAACGGTGACTACAAGTACACTTATCCAATTAACGTAAAGTGCGCATGCATCATTAATTTGGAGCATTGTAAACAATCCTCCACTATATTTTCATCAGTAAACGCAAACAGCGGTTCGCAAACGAGAAGCTGTACGGTTCGGCAACATCGGCTTAAATCGTCGGATTCCATATTCGTTTGGAGCCAAATATTTGTAGACACGATCGGTGCAACGAATCTTATTTAACGCGCGTACACCTGTCGCATTTGCATATAGAAGTCGCTTGTTTAAGTATGTCTATGCACGTGTTATACGCTCATAGTATGCGTAATTGCATACGCGGAGACACAAATGGTACGTTCTTGCTCATTATTCATGGAATAACTGTTTACATACGCGAGCGCGAATATCTACAAACCGCTTCGCGAACTCTGTTAGAAATTGTAGCGTGTGCGTTTCGAACGCGTGCCATGATATTTTGTTGAGTTTCATTTAATGATGTGATTTTTTCAATTTTCTATATCAACTTTCGAAAATTTAGAATCATGAAAATTCTGAATTTCCATAATTAAAAAAATGACCACCTATCAGTGGCCCCAAATAATTGAAACCCTCGAAACAGCATCGCGCGTAATATCCAAGGAACAACAAACGCTCCTGTAATCATTAATCAAAAAATTAACCTACCAACCAAAGTTCACGTGTATCGCTTTCGCGAATGATTGACGCCTATGTATTATCCGTTAAATTCATCCGAGCATTACGATGCCGGTTTCACCGAACGGTAAATCCCATCAGGATGCAGCAGTGTTACCGGGTTTTATAAATTGGATCACTGCATTAGGCTTGCTACTCATCAATCTTGTCTCCCTCGCAGCTGTATCTATTATGCAACGAGTCGTTTCTATGGGCCGCTAATGCGGTTGTCCGTATTCCGGCTAATTTCAGGGGCGAAAGTAAGCGCTCGCGGGGCCATTAAGTTCGAAATGGAGTTTGGTTATCCATCCAGGTGGGTGGGGATCGGGGTGGCAAAGGTGGACCGGGCAGGAATGGGAAGAAGGGGGTGGAATCGAGGCAGCAGCGTCGATGGCAAGTGAGCGTCGAAAGGCGTCCCGGACGCCTGGGAGATCAGTTTTCCTCGTAATTAGATCGGGATTGAATTCAGACTGCTCGACCGAGAACGATAGAGCCGAGTTAATCGACGAACGGGAAAAAAAGTAAAATGACACGAGGAACAAAAAATAGTTTACGCCGACACAGTGGCCATTCCGCGAGCGTTCCTCTACGATGCCCGAACGATCCGACGTAAACCGAATAAACTTAACGAGCGGCGATGCCGTGCCCACGGTGACCGCTCCCAAAACCAATTAGTCCTCGATATTTGATAGCAAACGGATAATCGGTTAGTTAGCCAGACGCGTCCCCCCTGCTTTTCCACCTCCAAGGAACGGGGCGATAAAGTGATCCGACAATTTGCATTCTCCTGAACTGGTCGACCATTGTTCAGGATCGCGTTTATTGATCTTTCGACGGCTCGTTTTATCGACGGTCGTTTAAAAACGCCGGAAGGATGGGAACAAAGGCGAGACACGAAAGATAATTGTGTCGGATACAACAACTCGGATACATGTATTTCGTTCGATCATTTCATCGAAGGCGAGGATGTGGAATGAAAGCTGATAAGGTGGTAACAAATGAAGAGGGGTGCCGATGAGAGAGTAGGTAAAGATGAAAGACAAGGAAGAGTAACGGAAGAGGCTTTAGATTGCGAAGCACGAGCGGAAGTCACAGCCAGTTACAGGCAATAAAAAGAGATTAAGAAAGTCTATTCTACTCGTACCCTCCTCTGTGGGGGAGAAATACTGATGGAGAATCGTTTCGGCATTCGTCCCCGAGGGAAGAATCATCGTCGACGATCTTGATGATCAAAGAAGATCAAGATACCACTCGTTATATCTTTTGACGAATGACCATAATGTCCTGAACATTATTGTACGATGTAAAAAGGTAATCAACAACAGAATTTGGAATTTTAGAATTTCAGTAATTTAAAATTTTAGAACGACGAGGGGACCAGTATATTTCTTTCTCAATTTGTCCAGTAATTATCTGCGAAAGCAATAACAGAAGATTGGTTTGGCACCCTGTAGGTACATCCAACGTATATCCAATACCATAGTTCAATGCACTTTACTTGATTATAAATTTTGTTTTCGCCAAATTGTAACGGTATTCAGTGAAATGACTTTTCCGTTATTGGACCTCTTTCGACAATTCGGTTCTTCGTTCCCATTCCAACGCGAGGAATACGTCCCAATTTACGTGCGCATCCTGAGTAGGTTCATCATCAAATGCAAACACAAAGACGGAGTCTGTGCTAAACATCAGCTGTACGTTCCACGTGCCGTATTTCAAGAAAATTAGAAAGAAAGAATTGCACGATTTTACTTAAGGAAATAGTAATGATTGAGCAAGTTGGAGCAATAAGAAGACAGTTCCACTTTCTGGTAATTTAAATAAACTAAAAGAACTGTTTAAAAATCAGGTCCTTTTACAAGCAATTTAATTTTTTAATGGAAGAAAAATAATATCTAAGGGAATACTTTAATGTTTGGGAAACGAAAATTAGCGTCATTCTCCTCGGGGCCACTTATGAGTATAGGTTTTACTAGCTTATCAAGGTACTTAAACTAATTACGAAATACACTAAAACTATTAACAAAGTTATTATTTATTGCAGATTCGTCGCGGGTCGCAAGGGATTGCTATTTTTCCTGGGATGCCTGATTTAATCGTGAGTGTACTACTCGCCAGTGTCTGACCATACAGAGCGTCTACTACTGCGACGCTGCGCCCGTAAGCATTCCGTTAATATAATAATTTTCATTGAACTTTGAGCTCGAAATTAATAAACAGGAAAGATATTTAAGCGTGTTGCCCTGAATATCTTCTCATCAGCATCTTTTTCCAGCATAACGGTACACATTCAAGAAGTAGATAAAAAAATTCGCCGTTTTAATTTCCAATAAATCGTCGAGAAAAGTGTAGCTCGGTGAACAAATTCGCCGGTCCGCCTGGTACGGGAGAATAAAGGAGAGAAAAGGCAGAAAGAAGCGAAGCAAAGGGAAGGAAATTATAGAAATTCGCGAATAGAAGTTCGGAGGCGCTTTGTCATCCGGGATATAAGAAGCGGCCCGCATTATTTTCCAAAGCGTGCCGAAAAAGTAGTCGAAGGAAGAAATGACCGAGCCTTGGGACAAGGGGAAAGAAAGATACAAAGGAAGAGAAATGGAAAAAGAAAGAGGGAAGATTGGCCCCAAACCTCCCCTTCGCTGCCTCGCCCGCCAGCGTTCGGCATTAAGGTTCGTGTATAGCTGCAGCTAGCAGCTAGTCGTGGCCACGATTGTCTTAAATTTAAATAATCGCGGGAAAATGTTAATGCCCCGCGCGCCGTAATTCAATGATAAAACAAAAGAAGGAAACGCGGAGCTACCCGGTTGGATTATTCGTTGAAATAGGCGGGGTGGAAAGAGACATTTGAGGAACCAGTTAGAAAGAACGAGGAGAACTAGCCGAGTGGAAAGAGGCAAATAGAATTAACGGGAAAATGAAAGAAAATTAAGGTAAGATACATCTGCTCGTTCATCATCGTTCTTCACTTTGATTCGCTTTTTCGTTTTAGCTAAAATTGTTTGCAAATTAGAGAACTTTCTATCATTACACTGATAAGAGTCGTTATTTTCACATTGAAATTTCATTTGGATGAGCAAAATTGATGTCAAATGATACTGGGCTAAAATGAATAATTTTAAATTAATGTTAAATTATTATATAATTAAGAAATATGAATATGAGATTGATATCAATTCAAATTCTCCCGTGTACACGTTTGCGCGAAAATGGTGGGGAGCCTCGGAGGTATATACACGAGGTCTTCTCCCCTCCATCGTCATTCTCCTCGGGAACGCCTAAGGAGAAAGATGGGCGTCTGGGAGGCCTACGGGGAGGGCTAGGAATTCAGGGAAGGGGGCATTGCCATTCTCTCCATTAAAGTTAACTATGCTCGATTCTGTACAATTACCAAAGGTAATTAATATACTATATATTACAGAAATTATCGACTTACCACTAGTTCAAAATCGCTATCCTCACGCATTTCGTATCACTGACGCTCAATTTTTTGTTTTATTTTAAATTATTTATTTATCAAGTTAAATGGCGAAAAATCTTCAAAAAGATTTTCATGCAAAAAACAAAAGACTTGTTGTTTTCCATTGAATTCAAACCGAAATTACGCCACGCCATTCGGTTGAAGTATCGGAAGCGATCGGTGAAAAAAACATCACGTCGATGACATCGGATCGCTGGCTGGCCGGAAACAAAGCAAACAGACGTCGAAGGGAAATAGAATAAAAGTTGTTTCGTTCATTACAACGTTCCTCGAGCGACAGCGGTCTCGCGTGTTCCCTCTAATTTGCCACCCCTTGACTCCATCCCCCAAAGCCCTTTACCAGGCGCGCACGAAACCCCTGCTGCAAGTACGTCGCCTGGCTAAAGCGAACCAGGTCGTGGCACGCGTATTTGTGAAACGTGATTCGCTCTCGTTCGGCCGCGTCGAGTGGAATCAAAGAAGGGCGTATATCGATGCCGGAGGAGTAAATCAACGACAGAACGGTTCGTAGGAAGGTGGCGAGAGCGTGCAGACGAACAGAAGGGATGAAATACTCGCTGGAGTACGAACGCGAGCAAAGGTATTAACTCCGAAATTGAGTGACTGCAACGAACGAACGACATCGCTACTTTTATCCCTTTACTCCATGATAACCCTTATAGGATTCTACAGCTTTCGGGTAGCGTTGCTAATTTGGCTTTCATGGCGCCAAATTCTGAAATTCTATTTTCTTCTTACTTCCCGTCAATTTTAAAAATTATATTATTTTCTTTTCTAAATTGCTTTTAATACCAATATAAAAATTAAGGTTTTCAAGTTTCATTCTATGTTTGAAAATTTAAGTTAGAATACTAAAACTGATAATTTCATTTTAACGAGCACGGTAGAATCGAGCGCAGAAGATTTTATACTCACGTAAGATTTCTTTTTTTTAGAATCTCTTAAGTTTATGAACTTTAGAGATTTTCACAGATAAATCGGTGAATTTACTTCCATGAGAACCGTTTTACCGTAAGTCTGTCCAATTTAGAAGTTCAGGTGAACGTTATTGTAACGTAAGAGTCTTTATCTTTCGTTGTTTTCTTTTCAATTTATAACTATCGTAAAACTTTCTTCAAAAAAGAAAAGGAACGTTTCATCTAGCGATAAACTTTAGTTTCAACTTCATTGTTATGTTACAAGGGTGAAAATGACAATTCTTGATGCGATCAGTGTACAAATTTTTCTTTTATTTTACATATTCTTCTCTGATATTCTATACTCTAAATTCAATTATTTCGATACAAAATGTAATACTTCTAAACAATTCTTCTTCGAGTACTTAAGAAAGCACGGGGCGTGATTTCAAGGCAGACGATTTACACTAACGTCGTGGTAGAAGTCTGCGTCGTTCCATTAAACGCGCCTAAAACAAATGGACGTAAATGGACGATTTTACGCATCTCCGCTTCACCGTGAAAATTTATGTCTCAATGTCGCGCGAATAGTAGGACGTTGCTTGTGAATATCGTGCAATTCGCGGAAAATGTTTCACTCGCGTCGACGGTTGCTCCAGTTGGATAAAACTTTCCCCGATTTAGAGCATCACGACAACAACGTCGGAACATATGCCCTTATATCTTCGACTACTTCTTCGACGCTCGTCCACCCACGCCCCCCTTACTCCCGAACCGTTCACCCCCCATGCTCATCCTATCGCGAAATCCTCCGTTTATCCTGGCTGAAAACTTTTCTCGCTTTGGTGTTTGCACCTTCCGGCAACGCTGCAAGCATTAAGGAAAATACGCTTCGACCGACATCGATGAGATGCACGAAATCGGCCCCATCGATGCGAGGAACAGCCTTGTAAACTCGACTCGTTTCACCGAAGAAATTTCGTTGCTTCGTAATTGCGTGGATAGACTTTCCTTGCTTTTACTAGGTTCATCTTCTGCTTTCCAAACGGAATTTTCTATGCATTTGAAGTATGCAAAGGTTTTCCTCTCTTCCGCCTCTACTTTATTTTTCTACCATATAGGATGGATTCTTTTAGAAGTTAGAAATACGTTTAAATGGTAGAATAATTAGTATATTTGTTCATACGAATAATTAAGCTCTTAATACTATTAATTTAATTTTACAATCATCGGTATATGTTCCAGCCAAAAGCTCCCATTAGATTGAATTTCCACGGATTCCAATTTTGGAGGAAAAAATTAGTTTTCACTATTTCAGAGTGAAGCGAAGTGATCGATCGACCCGATTCATATCAACGGCGTGTTTCGATTCACTCTTTTGGAAATTCCAGAAATGATGAAATCGCTTCAAACTATCAGATAGTTGCAAGCGCAATCCTTTACACTGCACGTAAACGTATCGATATTTCAATCACATTAGCTGTGCACGATACTGTGTAGTTGCGTTTGTAAAATTTACAATCCTTTGTTTATCCTTCCAATTTCTAGCAAAACGGGATCGATAAATCATCGATAATCATGACTCTGATAGTATTGTATCATCTGATAACAAGGAAATATGTAAATGAAAAAAATAGAATAATTTCTCAATTATTAATATTTTTTTTTAAATATACGATTAGATAGGAACTATAAAAAATTTGTTCAAGTAGGTTATCGTACAAGAACAGAAGAAAATTTTACCTCCCAGCGGATGGATTTCGACTTTATGGAAGCAGAAAGGATGAAATCATCGAAAACTTTTAAACATCTCTCGCGATTCTTTTCTCTGCGAATCGCTTTCTCCACCATTTCGCCGGTACTATACGTTTTAAAAACTTTATTCGGTTCCACGTATATAAAGAATTCCGCGGGAATGCTGAATTCAAATCTGTCCAGCGAAATAAGAAGGATTTATTATCGTTCCTTACTTAACTTGAGATGTGTTCAGACAGATTTCATAAGGCATAAAATCCGTCTGCTGTTGGGTTATAAAAAGCATGATATTCAAGTTTCTTTTTCCCGCCGTCGTAACAAGTAAGCAGAGCTCAATTACTATAGGCGGTAGCGAAGTTGTGAGACACGGTTTTGCTATAAACCTAGTAATAAACCGGATGTTATTTCGATTTGTATTACTCGTTTCAAGGATTCTTTGACGCGCAAAAATTCGCGTAAATATACGGTTTTAATTCTGTTTTATATTAAAGAACAATTTAACAGTCGTGTTAACAGAATTCTTATGAACAGCTTTAATTGTAACGGGAGGAACATAAATGAAATGTTTGTTAATTAATTCATGGAAATCTATTTTCTGCATTTTCATAGATTGCATTATTTTCTATTCATACGTTTTAGCTTTCACGGTTCCGCCTTTCAAATTTTTCCCTATTCACTTCAGATTATTTCAATTTCACGTTTTTTAATAATCATTTGGACTGGCAGGTTTATAAGTTTATTCATTTCAATTCGTCCATTCACAACAGCCACCTTTCAACTTTTTTACGAATTTAACAAGGAAAGACGCGTGGTGATTCATTAACGATTGTACAAATTTCTCATTAATTATCACGAAAAAGCATTTAAACGGGATTAATTGCTGCAGTAGTAGATTACAATGCAAAATCAATTAGTAGCAGCGGCTGCCTTGGAAATTGGAAAAGAGAACCTTTCAAATTCGTTCGATTGTTCTTTTTATAATTCCTTTCTGCAGGAAAATTTTCTCTGCACTGTGTATGCAACCAAAATATTATACTAGGAAATACAAATGTAACGAGGTAACTCGTTTGTACAAGTGCTCGCATTTCAAGCAACAAAACAACATATTATTATAAAATAATTGCAGCAGTTACGAAGAAAAGAAAAGAATTTGCAATTCTACGAAAAGAACACATTTTTGAAATGAAAAATGTGACATGGTCGTGAAAAGGCAATTGAATCTTGTAATAATGAATTCATTAGATTTTTCTGGACAAGATTTTCTACAATTTCTAAATTATAAAATAAATAATTATTGAAGAAATATTTGCAGTCGAAATTTGAAAATTTTTAAGTGGAGGTACTCTAAATACCTGAAATATTAATATAATATTGAATGATACAAAGAATATTTTAATAAAAGAGTATTTTAATATTCCTCTGCTTCGCAATACAAAAGCTATTAAATAAATTCCCAACTTTTTATCTTCCTCTGTTATAGAGGAATAATTATAAATTATTTTCAGTATTACTTTCAATTGAAATATGAGCAATTGTTGATATAGAGATATTACACTTCTTTAATTATTTCGTATTTAATTTCTATAGTTATCATTTTCTACTTCCGTATCGCGAACAATACATTTTCATTATCACAATGCAATGCAAACGTTTACACGATAGCATTCATACCAAATTACATATTATACGTAATGCTATATTGTATCGTGCTGTACTGTAATTAATCTTCCGTAGAATGTTGCCGCTTGAAAAGCAAACAGGATGCGATTTTATAAACAAAAGTGTTCGGATTATGAAACGCTTGGACAATAAAACATTTTCTGATAATGTTCATGTAGCAAACATTGGAATGCAGGGATTATTATAGAGTTAGTAGGATGTAAGTGAATCTTATTTATTGAACACTGAACTTTTTAATAATCTTATTGGAATTATGGGATTTTAGAATTTTGGAATTTTGGAATTTTAAACCTTGGGAATTCTGATATTTTGCTATTTGGGAATATTGAAAGTTTAGAATTTTGCTATATTGGAATTTTAGAATTTTGAAATTTTGGGATTAAATTCATAGGTGAATTTAATTAAAGTACTCGGCTTTCAGTAGATTTACTCAACGATTCTTCCAACATAAAAAAGATTCTCCCTAATCTTCCCAAACAAACAACTAAGCATGATAACATTCTTGAGAAGTGTCCCTTCTTGTAATCTCTTACGACTAAGTAATGGATGCCTAGCTGATAAAGTCTCACTCGCACCGGCGACCGCATCACTCTTCTGCGTGTGCTTCCAACTTCCTGTAAACCCAAATTATACACACCTAAATGATGGATGACTTCCCTCGTATTCCAAACACCATAAACCTGTTCTATTGGTCCAACATAGTTTACTTGGAACTTTCATTTGATAGCTATTGTTCGGATACGAAATTATGTGCAAAAACATCTTGCTTCTAGTGAAGCTAACTTCACAATATCATTATGACAACCAACTACGATAATTATTGTGGTAATCAGGGTGCTGGTCGTAGGATCTAGTGATAGAAAAATAAATTGTATTTTAAAATAGATGATATCGTAGTAATTATGCAGAATAGGGTAGACCTCACTGGGTTTAATAATTATAATATGTTAATACTTCTGCAAAAATTTGCATCATTTTTTAATCAAATTTATTTATTTGACACACAGAATTTTATGTCCTATTAATTTTGTACTATCATAGAAATATATTCTTTAATACATTCAATAATGTATTGCACAACAACGTGCACAGATCTCATTACTTATAATACCATGCATATTTGCTTGAAATTAGCACAACAAATTTACGTAACACCCAAACCAAAATTTGTAATTTGTATAATATATTCCGACCATTTATATTTTCATTATTGATTAAATTGAATAGCCAGCTGAATTTATATAAGTGTACATTTGAAATCTCCTAAATCAACTTAATATCCATGAAAATTAACGTATCTTTGCTGTGTTACAATACTTCATTGTTAAACAGAGTATAAAAAATTGTTAAATTAATAATTATTCAACTTGTGTAATTAGTGGCCCAAATATGAACTCGAGAGTACACCGAGGGTACTCGTCAAATCGTACGGCGGAAATTGATCAAATTAAATGTGACATCGGTAGAAAAACTTTTAATAGGTTTAATCACTGTGATGGACTCTTCACAGTTAATCGGCAAAAAATTTGGAGTAGGGTGGGACACGTAGTCGTTAAGCGAGGAACAATTATCGAATGTGAATTGAAGTAGACACGAAGCTTGGAAGAACGAGTGTGGAAATCGGTTAACGAGGATACCTAATTAGAAAATCGACAAATATACTTTATCTTATTCTTCACCCTCCGAATTTGAAACTTCGATAATTTGGAAATTTGGAATTTCTGAACTTTAGAAGTTTAGAATCTTACTTGGAAAGATTGAAATTTCGAAATTTTTGAATCACAGAACTTAAAGATTCTGAAAATTTTAAAATACAGAAATATTAAATTCTCATATTACGACTGCAACTTTTATGCAAATTATAATGATTAATCTTTCAAGACTGTTGGAGCGACAAACTTGGCTACGATTTACAATCGGCCTTTCTATCCTTTTGACGGTGCTAAAATGCTATTTCTTGGGCACTGATGCGAGACTGAATTAAGTCCTCGAAAGCCGAATTAACGGAGCATAGAGAACGCGTGGTGTCACGCGCACACGTACACTCCCACACGCGCGTGAACTCAGCCTCCCATACTACACGCTATTAGCGTTAAAACGTTGGAATTAACATAGCTCCCGCGTTTGTGCTACAATGGAATTAATTCCCGGGAGTTGTTGGGCTCGACTAACGAGTTTATACCAAGATCGCGGAAGGAACGACGAACGCCCTTACTCCTTTCGAAGCGTTCTATCGCACATCTCTTACCACCCTACCGCACCTCCCTCGCTTCCCTATTGTTTCTGTTCTCGATGTTCTTTCAACACAGTTTTACTACCCATTTTAAGGATAATTGTCGAGGTAATCGAAGATTTACAAAAGTGCTGACATGAAATGAATTAACCCTTTACCGTGACATCTCAGAGATTTCTCTTATTCCCTTTTATTTCGTATGCAATTAAATATTTTTGTCTCGTCTGTCCTTCAAGGAAATTATATTATAAGGGATAGTAAATTACAAATCCAAAATTGAACGATCCAATAGAATGATTTCTTTCTTTTTACGAGCAATTACTGAAAAGTAGTTTTGATCAAATTCATTCCGCTCCACAATTTCCTTTATTCTTCGTGCTTCTCTTCTCCTCTTCGCGTTCCTATTTTCTATCATCGTCTATCTAGAAATAGAGGAAAGTGGTACAGCGTCTCCGTCGCTCCTTCTATCGAACGAAAACGGAAGGAAGTCATGGTTTCACGCGTGACGCTTCCAGATTTCTTGGGACGCGGTATATCCAATAAATCATTCGTTTTCGACGTAAACGTTTGCAATCTCTAAATATGATTTCGCAACTGGTGGAATCTGATCGAATCGAGGCGGCTCGATGAGCATTTTATTCGATGGGGAAAGTCGACAGATGATAGGAGAAATCGTAGCCTCGTCGTCATATTTTGAAATCGAAAAACGCCCGGTTTAGTGATTCGCTTTTAGGATTCAATAACTTCATTTATTATACCCAATAAATCTTTTATTGTAAAATAGAAACACTTATTTAAACGTTACAAATGAATACACGGACATTTTAACTCTCTGATGGCGGACCATGGAGAGAGCCAGAATTTTTCTTTATTTAATCCTTACACAAATGCTAATCTAAGCAAAGTTTCCACGAGAAGTTCGGTAAACGATAAGTATCGAAAAAAATTGGCTAAAGAAACCGGTCGGAAACGAAGTCACTGGTATGTAGCAATAAGCGCATTCCGGAAGAAGGAGATTCATCCGTTCACGGATTACGCCAGAACAGATTCTCTATTTCCAAGGCGGGTAGGGCTCGATGATACGTCGAATGGCTTTGCTTCCTTCCCCTGAACCAGGCTAAATTGCGTCTGTCAAATCCGCTCTGTAAGTCTTTCCTCGATATTACGGATTCCGTAAGCGACACGGAGAAACCAGAAGCGATGCCGTGCAATTGCTCGCGACCATGCTTCCCGCAGAGAAAACGCTTTCGTTCGGTTTGCTCGTTCTTACAATCAGCATAACATTCCTTCCGGCGTCGCTGTCAAACCTTGAATCGGATTACCCGAGCCTCGTTCCGACCTAACATCCAACTTCGACACGTGCATCGGTTGCTTGCCACGGCCCTGATCCCGCAGTCACGCGGAAAAGTTTCAATGAGACCCTGTCGAATCTGCCGAAAGTTTTTCCGGGAACAGGCTATTATCCTCGTGATAGGAGGATCATTTCTATGAAGACACCGGTGGATGTAATTGTCATGTAACGTGACTTTTACGTTTCAAAAATTGATTTTCTGGTGTAATAATATTGATTTATAATATTTTTATTTCATTCTATAAATAATAAAAAGGGAAATGTCTTCGATTTAATATAAAAAATTATAAAATTCAAATTTCTTGAGAGAAATGAAAATAAGAAACTTTTCCTTTGTTAGAAAGATATCTCTCCTTTTTCATTTCATTTGAACAGAAGAAATTAATTCATTTATTCTCGTCGATATTATAAGTTCATTTGCATTTTTAAATTTCTGATGGCACAGGGACCCCATGATGAAGATAGTCGAATAAATTTTTCAGGCGAAGGAAACACAGGACCTCTTCTTCGTTTGTTCTTGCTGCAGGGAGGTTAAATGCGTTCATTCGACCATGGGGCAATGTGACCCTATGAAAGCGAGATTCATGCAGCTCTTTGATCCCACCTTTACCTATATATTTTCCTCGAATATAGTCTGCACACGATTCCTGAAGCAAATAAGAAGGATATTTTCCTCCTTTCCGTCTGTATTTTTATTGCATTTGTTAAACGATTGCTGTATTTTTCCTTGGAATTCAAGAAAAATATCACTTTGAAGAATTTTCAAACTTCTTAAATCTCGACAAACATTTGAGTTTGTTTCTTTTTTTATTAATCACAGAAAAATTCCATCAACAGATTATTATTTTTTAAACAAAACATATTCATAGTATTTCTTAATGCATAAAACTTTGAAATAAGAAAATAGAATATTGAAAGATGATAGAAATGAGACGATATTTTTAGCGTTTCTATTTTTCATTTTTAAAAAATGTCACGTAGCTCGGGCGAAAATTCAACAACGTGCGCCAGAATTTTTCAATTTTGTTCAACAAATAGTAGCGATGTTTTCACAGATCCAAGGATTCAGGGATAAGAGAGATCACTGGACGGGAAGTCTTCTGAAGGAATCACTTTCCGGAAGAGAAACAATATTACCTTTCTCTTCGACTCGTTCACACGTTCAACTTTCATCACGGCTAAATCTACTTATTACTTTTTCTTAGAACAGTCTTCAAATTTATTTCATTTCAAAATATTCATATAAATCTATTTCCTTGTTTCTATCCCTTTTACAAATATCACAAATGAGCTTTACTATTTAATTAGGATCTGATCAAGTTAGTATAATTATTTCAGAGAAGCCTAAGGAGGCGTGGTTACAAGGTTTCACATAGTCGTCAGGTATGAAAGGGGTTCTCGGGTAGACCGGCGCGAGACTGAAATTAATTTGTTTTCAGTTAATTTCGGCTTCGGTCAGACCACCCTGATTGCTTCGAAGATTGTTTAGTCTAACGGTGTTCGGTACACAAGCTTACATAAATAGACACTTCCATAAAGTGATTATTAATTAGAATGGGATTACAACTAATTACGAAGAGTAAATTGAATGATTTCAATCTTCCACTCCGTGGGATATCGTCTGGAAAAAGTACGATATTATAATAGTATTCAACTGGATCCCTTTTGATTCAATAATTAGGAGAAGCTCAATATTATTACATAATCATGTGTGCCTTGTTAATTAATATCTTTTTATAATTTTTCTGATCTATATCCTTAATTAATTACCTAATTAACTAATTATCTCTATTATGAAAAATTTGTTGATATCGAGAGAAACATAATAAATCAATAATAATTTTTTAAAATATTCTTCAAGTTTCTTTTTTTAGTAAATTTCCTATAATGAGCTTCATGATAATTTTCCAAGTCAAAGTTTATGCAACTAAAATGTACGTCAGGTATGAAGGGTTGACAATTTTGATGGGTTCTCATGGCCGTGTTTGAACCATGAAAGTGTTAAAATAAGTATCTTCAAGGGTTAAAATACAGGATCTTCTAAATTCACCTGACACAATTACAAGACGATCCTTCGACCGAGGCAACACGATATCCTTTGTCGCCTCGAAGGATAATGCTTTTAACTACAGCCAGTAAACTTTTTATTTCCAGGTGATATACGAGGAGAATCCAGTATGCTCTGCGCGGATTAAACGAGCTGGATCGGTCGGCGTCGTCAATGGACTTCGTTTCGAGGGTCCTTTCATTATCCCAGGAACACGGGACTGGCCTCCGTCGAAGTTGTTCGCGCTGGCAAAGGGAAGAGGATAGAGGGGCGTGTAAGAGCGTGCGAGGAAAGAAACGAACGCCGAGGGATGAAAAGGGGAAGGTGAGCATTAGAAGAAACAAAAGGGGTATTTTCGTGGTGGTGAAATAGAGAGGAGCAGACTTTTCTCCTCTCGCGTACGTATAACCACCTGAGCCACCTTTATGCGCACGCGGTCTCCAAGGATTAATGTTGCACGGCACGTTGCCAAAAATGGACCGGCTGACCCGTGGGATAGCTGCCATTTTAACTCTTTCGATGCTGTTACAAAAATCCATCAACAAGGTTGGTATTATTATACGTACAATTTTTTGATATTAGAAAATCTTGTAAAATATTTTATAAAAATTTCTTCCTATATTTCTCTCAACCACACTATTATTTACTTTCTAAGAATAATTTCTCTACTCCGAATTATCTCGTTTCTCCGTTTACTCCTCCGGCTGGGTCATCCGGTATCGACCAATTGGACGCAGCTAATACTTGGAAAAGTTCTCGTTCCGGAAATTCTTGAAATTCGTCAAGGCGAGGGTCGGCAACAAATTAATTTCGGTTTCACGCGGTCCCCGTACGAAATGAGTTTCAGATAGATTCCGCCTCCTGGAGGCTTCGTAAAATAATAACTTTACGGTACCGACAGAGAGGGAACCGGTGGATGAGACGTTCCCAGGCGAAGAAAAGGTCGTTCCAGACGGAGAGGGAAGAGCCGTGTCGTGAGGTGAAAGAATAGAAACTAAAATAGTCTTCTCAACGGCAAACGGAGAAAAACTCATTCCGCCTGCTCGCCCGCAGCCCGGAGCTTGCTCCATTGTGAGACGACCAAGTATTGTGTAGTTCGTAGTAACCGTGGGCCACTGTCCTTCTCCCTGGTCCGTCCTTCTCCCTCGCCAACCTTTCCTTCCTTTCTTTTAACGTACTTGTTTCTTCCCTACGTCGTTCTTTCCTAGAATTTCCCTGACTTTCCACGTCACGGATGTTTCGTTCTCATCATCGCCGTGACAGTTTTCAGAAATCGTTGACGGCTAAGGTGAAATAACTCGGTGACGCGATTGAAAGAACTTATCATTCAGGAACGTAGAAAATGAAAAATAGAAAAAATAGTTTCGATGCAAATTATAGTTTGCATTTAAATTTCAAGCTTAATTTCTTTAATGTATTTTCATTTCTTTTTTTTTTTTTTTTTTTCTTTCTCGAGAAATAGTTTCGGGAAATTGTTCGACGATTCAGTCGACTGACAAGGTAGTGGATGCCGAACATTAAAATCGGTGGGAAGAAAACGCGGTATAGCGAGAACGGTGTTCAAAGGAGAGTTCAGGCTTGGTGGAAGAAAGGAGTTTCGAGCGTAGCCGCAATATTTGGGATATGAGTTCGGTTTCTTTTTTAGTTTCTGTTCTGCACCGGGATTTTTACCTCTTTTCGTATCGCCGTGCGGCTCAATGCACCCCGCGACGCTCCAGTTCTGCGTTATTAAATCGAATTTCCGTGGAAAAGTCAAAAGATGGAGGAAGAAAGCGTCGCGTCGTGCAAGCTTGCGCTAAGTTTTTCGTAACGAGATATTTCATTCCTCGAAAATTTCTTTTTCAAAAGTTTGTGGCTGGTTTTAATCCGAGACCAGTAAATGCAATGTTTAATAGACCTTGCAAAAATAGAAAAATAGAAATATTGAAAAATTGACTATACAAAACATTTAAGTAATAACTTCTTTTTTTTATTTTATTACACCTAGTATCAAAAAATATTTTTGGCATATTCATTTTCAAATTCAACAGTTTCAAGAAAAGTGTCGGAGATGATTTTCAACGAAAAGTCGAAATTCTCCGAATACCGTTTTCTCATTTCCTCATCTACTTCTTGCAGTTACTCATTCTCTGCTTGGCCACCGTCGCAACACCCTCGATCGTCCTGAAACGCTCTTAGCTCGAAGCAGGGAGGAAGTTTTTTTTAGAATCCCGCCGGGAAATTAAAAGTACTCCGGGTCGATGACAGTCCTCCTTTCGTTAATGTAAGGTCTAGCTTTATTGGAATATTTCATTAACAATGAAACTTTTACAAGATCGAAGCGAGTTGCTCGAGGAAACGAAGCTCGGCTATTGGTTCATAGTTCATCGATAGCCGCCGGGTAAATAGAGGCGGATAATTGGTATCGATTAATTATTTACACCCAACGATTTCTACCTGGGACCCAGACCATTATTAATTAATTGGTTAATTGGTGGTCATGGTAATGTTCCCTATCAATTTTTCAGCTACTATTAATTTGAATAGAAAAACAAATATTTAGCATCCTTGCTGCTCTACTTTAGTTTAATAAAAATATTTCTTTCACTATTTTACTATTTTTCCATTTTTCTATTTTTCTACCCCTCTTGCAACGATAATAATTGGAACACCCATATTTTCTAAGCTAATTTTTTATTATAATTTATTATATTTTACTCTCGTATAATGGATGAAAATTCAATGTAACGAAAACGCTATTTTCAACTAATATTATTCGTGTAAATTGCAGTTTTCATAGTAAAATACACGTTGCACCGACAGAATCCGTATAATTTGAATTCATAAGCTTCAGACCTCGATACTACATCCATAAATGTTTTAAAACCCTGTTTTGTCATTGGGATTAGCACATAAATGAGCTTCATGATTGTACAATGCCTGGTCTAATAGCATAAGAGCCTCCCCGTCATTAATGGGGTGCCACCGCGTCTCCCATCGCAAGCGCCATGTCGAACTATGCATCACATCCGACCTACAATCCATAACATCTCAAATTTCATAAATGAAATGTATATCATTTGAATAAATTACACGTGTCACTCTTTGGTTAATATCATCAGTTAAATAAACCTTAATAAATATAAGCTTAATTATAATTAAGCCTTTCGACCACTTTTTAAAGCAGAATAACATTTTTTAAATTGGGACAGACACTTTTTTTTTAATGAAAAATTATTTTGCATAGTATATTAGCTGAAGTCGTCATTAATATATCTGACAAATTTTCCCGCAAAAATAAATGTTTATGCAAAAACAAGATTATCGTGTTAACATCTACGTAGAGAGAATGTCGAGGCGCAGGAACGAGATCAGATCGAACGATCGAAATTTCGTTCGACGCTTCGATACATAAGCGTAATATATTTCAGCTGCTCTATAGGCAGGATTCCGAAAATTGTGGACATTCGTTTCAGCGGCGCGACGTATCTGCTTAATCGCTAGTTTTAAAGATTTATCGATGGAACGGCCGATCCGTTTCGCTATCCGAAATCATTTTTCGATTGATTATCGCTGTCTGCCTTTTTCCCCGATCTTTCTCTCTCGGCTCGAACGTCGACGAAAAATGTTTCGTGACCGTTCGTCGCCTGACCAACCTGATATCTACCATCTCGTTATAGAAAAAAAAAAAACCGTGGAATTTTCAACGCTCGAATAAAACTGACTAAAAAATATCATGGAAAATCCCTGCCTCCTAGATTTTTCTGTAGAAAGATTTTCCTGGTTATCGTACTTTTGTTAGATCAGTTTCTGATAGAACAATTGTATAAATTAAGAGTAAATTAATATGTATCAAGCAATATGAGGTATTTCTTGGAATAAATTTTTAAAATAGCCGGTATTGATTTAAAACATGATTTATTTTCCATGAATACAGGAAGACATAAATTCGACAAGAATAATCACATAAGAGAGGGTTATTCGTTCACGCAAATTTGTACATGATTGATCACCGTCGTAATCGTGATTTTTCTGCCAATAGCGAACGTGATTATCGAAAGAAACGTAGATTGCGATAGATCGTAACTATTTCGCGGTTGTGGTCTCCGTCACATCGCGATGAGATTCTACAGCGTTGATCCGACCCTTCTGAAACAACCTATTTTGTTTATCGACGATGGATGGTCCGACGGCAGAATTTTAATTATCCGCGGCTCTTCGTTCGACCAACCTTGGACGAGTTACCGGCCTCGTTATTATCGTCGTCGGTGTCCTCGAGGGTGTTCCAAGGATCAATTCGTGTGTTGGCCGCGGTGCTCAAACGCAGACAGAGATTTTTCAACGACTTTTCCATTTCTTCCCGAGTCACCCTGCTCTTGCCAGCGGTCACCGCCAAGTTTCTTGCATCCTCCAACGACTCCTCGAGGATGTCTGCCAGAACCGACGATAGAATCGCCTCCGCCTTTTTTGATATTATGTACGTCCGGTCTGTGCGATTCAAACATGGTAAAAATGGTGTAAAGAAAATTTAATTCTTCAGCTTTTTATCAATATTCACAATAGGCGTAAAATTAAAAGATCACTAACAAGCTTCGTTGTTGGAAATTTATTTCTAGATCTCTAAAGCACTTAGGATATTTTTATATTGTATAATGTTCCTTAGGATGAAAAACCATATTTAACTTCAAATATACGGTAGATAATAGGATTGTCGATCAGCCAACTATACTGAAACTTTCTGTCTAACATTTAATGTTGGATTCCCAGAAGTGTACCCACGGATAAGATTCAGATAGCATGGAAAAAAGAACGAATGTGGGGTAAAGAATTCGATTTACGAAGATAGGCACTTTGGGAAAAGTTCTTGAAAGCGAACAGATCAGAATTATCATTTGGTTCGTTCACCTGGAACTGTTGCGGATTACCTTAATCGAAATGTCTCTCGGAGAAATGGTAGAAGTAGAATTTTGGAAACTTGAAAATTCTGAAATGTTGAATTCCAGAATTTTTGAATTTTGCTCCTTCTGATATTTTAGAACACAGATTGATAGTTGAATTTTGGTTGGCCCACCCTGTATACCGAACAGAGGGACGATTCTGTTTCCCCCGAATCGAAATGCTTTCGACGATTTTCAATCGCAATTGCGATGCTAACCTTAACTCGCGGAGACAGTGTGTCGCGTACACATAGGTGTGGTTGTCTCTTTATAGGCGTGGGTGTATCTCATTTCGTAAAGTGCGGGACCACTTCGGTTTCACACCCTTCCACCAGCATCACCACTCTTCTACCTCCTACCCTCATTTTATCGTGATTTTCAGTTCTCCCGTTCTACGTTTGTCCTGGCAGCCACTTTGTTGTGCATTTCCCGCTATCTTGCTCGACATCGCGTTTCCAACAAAATAATCTGATACCTCTCTTTCGAAACGATGGTTCAAAGAATTTTGTAAAACATAAATAAAATAATTTTTTACAAAAAATACAACCGACTTTGTAACCTTCTCCTTTTTCGAACTCGATTAAATAAATGAACAGACATGTATTTCATTATCATGGGCCAAAAATTCATAATTAGCAGGGGCGGCATATAAGAATTTATAGTTTAGAATTATATAGAATTTTAATTATTCAAAAAAGACAAATTATCATTTAAAGAAAAAAAAAAAAATTGTTGGGAACCAAGGATTTGAACCGAGGACCTTTAGATTGCGAGTCATGTGTCTAACCACGGAGCGGATCCATGACTCGCAATCTAAAGGTCCTCGGTTCAAATCCTCGGTTCCCAACATTTTTTTTTTTTAATTATAATTTGTCTCTTTTTGAATAACTATTACAGCTGTGCTATAATCATTGCATTTATTAATAATTAATTACATACACTGCAATTTTTATAGAATTTAAGTTATTCAAAATAGAATATAGAATTTTAGTTTAGAATTATATAGAATTTTAATTATTCAAAAAGAGACAAATTATCATTTAAAAAAAAAAAAAAAAAAAAATTTTTGGGAACCAAGGATTTGAACCGCGGACCTTTAGATTGCGAGTCATGTGTTTAACCACGGAGCGGATCCATGACTCGCAATCTAAAGGTCCACGGTTCAAATCCTCGGTTCTCAACAATTTTTTTTTTTTATTTTATGAACATTTTTATGTAATAGTTATTCAAAAAGAGACAAATTGTCATTAAAAAAAAAAAAAATGTTGGGAACCAAGGATTTGAACCGTGGATCTCTAGATTACGAGTTGTATGGGTGAGTTAGTCATACTTCAGAATGTAAGGAGTAACTAAATGTAATTGTTAATATCTTTTAAATAATTAGCCGTCTGCCCCCAAAAGGAGGTATCTACAAGCTGACAAATTTTCATTAATAAGTGAGTGTAACACTTGGATAGTTCCCCTTGTTAGACCTTCTTCTGGGGTGGTTCAGGCCCCTTAGAAATTATAGAATTTTAAAAATATTTTCTATAATTCAAACAAAATGTCATTGAAGCTTCTACAAATTACATTACTGCTAATTAACCTCCAAACACTTCATGTATGCAAAATATGTTTCTTTTAAAGTGTATAAAAATACTGACGTATCGATTCTATTTAAAAATACATCTTCATTATGTCTATTAAACACTAACGTCATTTTACTATCTTTAGAATTCTTTAACATTATTGGTAAAGTTCAAACCTCAAAAGGTCAGTAAGTTACAATGGTATTTTCACTTACTTGTACGCCTTCTTATTCTGGAACGATTATTTCTGGTCCGTTTGGGATAATTCTTCCGCCGCATACTTTCAAATAAAAATTATTCCCCGTCAAAGCATACTGCGCGAAATAATTATTTAACAACTCTATGAATTTTTATATTCCTACATGTGGATCAAAACAGCGTACTGTTTCATTGATTTGTGACTGAGTTCATAATAGAAAAATAGAATTTTTCATAGATATTTTTTTTTTTATTAATCCATAGACAAAAGATTAATTCTTGGAGACTTTAGAAATTCAAAGATAAGGAATTTATCGAAGCATGAAACATAGAGTGGAAAATGTTTATCGCGTATATGCCGTGCAGTATTAAAATCGTAGTCACGTAAACGTTCCTATTCGTCGACGTGAGGTTGCACCTTAGTGGAAGCTAAAGAGATACAATTTTTCCTGCGAACATTCGCATATACGTGTCTAAAGTCTCCAGTAAGAGAATAACGACGCTTTCAAATAAATGTAAAATTTATGCTCGATACGTTCAAGAAAAATGTTAAAACTAAGCAATAAAATAATTTATTGCTATTGCTTGACATTTATTTCCTCTCTGTGCTCATTTCAAATTTCCATACAACTCTTTAAATGTTATTTCAATTTATTCAGAACGAAATTTCAATTTTTTAAGCGAGTTTATCAACCAACAGGATCCTCGAAGATTTAATAGCCCCGGGCTCCTGGATATCTTAATTCGCTCCTGCATCAAACGCAATTAGTTACTTTCGAACAGTCGTCGTGTTTGCGATGAGAAAGTTTTTTGGTAAAATTGCCGGAAAGGTAGAGGAGGGGTCGATGTCGTAAAATTTCACGGTGGTGCACGCCATATCCCTGATATTCCCGATTCCGAAAGTCCCATCGCGGCTTCGATCCCCGCGGGGCTTTCAAGCTTGACAACGCTCTTACTTTTTCGCGTATCTATCGACGTCGCGTTCGACGAGAATTTTTCTCTGTACAACCCCTTTCCCCTCGGAAACGATACAAATTTTTGCAAGCACAGTCGAGAGATTCGCGTCAATGAACAGATAAATCTCTTTCGAGCCAGGTTGCAGCCACGCAACGAGTGAGAATTTACGAGCGTGACGATTCAAAGACGTTGCTGCTTGAAATTTTGATGAGATTCCGTCCAACCTTGTTACCTGGTACTAGTTACAGAATCTTAAACGAGATTCAGGAGTAAGCGTGGACTGAGAAAAGAAGGATTTTTTAGAAAATAATAGACGCGATGGAGATACTTAAATATTTTTTATTGTAAATTATTTTACACTAATCAGTGAATATAAATACAAAATAAATAATATCCTTCGTAAATATTTCATGCCTCGCATTTCCGTGTTCATCCAATTATATAGACGTATAGTGTTAATATTCATTATTTCATTCGGGTTCGTGATTCAATATTAACTCGTCATTATGAATTAGTTACCAATATGAAAATTATGTATGGAGAACGTTTCGGTTCAATAATCCAATCGACTGATCCTATTTCTCCGCATTAATTTTACGTGAGCAGTTAATTTATTTAAATCAGAATTAAAATTATATTAACTTCTGTAAGCAGCTCAGATAATTAATCTTGGCGTTGATTTTTATAAAAGTTTAATAAATAATTACATACAATCTGTCAATAAAAATGTTAAAATCAATTAACGTAGATTTAAAAATACTTTATATATTCCTAGGTGATAGAAACTTGTATGAATTGGAAACTTTAAGTATTATATCTGTAAGAAACAGCTGTAAAATATTTTTAATATTTCCACAGGTATTTCTTTTTATATTGAAAACACTTTTGTTTAAAAATATTCTTTCCTATCTTCGAAAACATAGAAGTTATTATACATAGATAGCTTGTTGAGGTACTTCCAGTACAACAACGAACAACCGACTCTGTTTATGCAACTTTTCATACCGCTCTGTGCAGTAACAAATACGGCTCCTCAGCTGTAAAAACGTATCGTAAAAATCCGAGCATCGTACCGAGAACAATATCGCGATGTTTCCGGTTTGAACGTAACATCGTTGATACAAAATTCGTTCCAGGCCTTTGTTGGAAACTGCTTCCGTTTCATGGTCACTAATACGGACTGCAGTTAGTAGAAATTCCTCCTTTGTTAACCCTCGGATAGTGTAGAAACTTTGCCGAACCAATGTATTATTTACAGTTGAAATTTCATTTTTCTTTCAAATTAAAATTGTTTATCATCTATAGGAGATTTCAATTCCTTTCTTATTCTATGAGTAAATAAAAATAATATGAAAATAAAATACATTAGGCTCTCATTATATTGGCGCAGTCCAAACTCTCATTTGTAGAGGAAATATTAGTACAATTCTATTAAGTTATCAAATTAATTTTATCTTAGATTTTAAACCTTATACAAAGGGATTCATAAATAAGTTTGGGATAGCTTAATTGGCTAACATTATATAGGAAGTTCTGGTTTTAAATCGTGGCAGAGCAATCCGAGCAATCAATTCTTCTTTCCTTTCCAGTAATATTTCACTCATTGTGAATTCTTGCGCGCTAGATTTACGAACTCGGAAATCCTGAAACGGCTTCGATTGCAGCTGTTTTTCAATGTTCATGCCCTCTCCTATAGATCTATCCATTGACATTTCCAAAAGAAAGTCCAATAAATTGCCAAGTCAGTCAAAAGTGTTTAAATGGCTACACCAATTTCTAATAAATTCGTAACTTCATAAACGGACTGCTAATGCACATATAAGTTTATGTAATAATTAATTATAGCTAGTTGCTTTTGATATCAAAAGCAAATGGCGTCAGGGGTGGGGGCTCCAGACGCCATTGCATGCAGTCTAAGAAGAGGCCGACACAGGGTGCGACCCCCGGTGTCGGCCACATGCAAGGTACTCTAAATTGACACCTATGTGCCAAGCGCGGGGGGCTCCGGTATAACATATAAGGTCCCGGAGCACTCCTTTAGCGCCAATGTTGGTCGCCGTGGGGTTTTAGTCAGTAGGAATCTGACACTCCCCCGCCGCCCTCCCCCAGGGGACGGTGGGGGGTCTTATGCAAGATTTCCCCACGTTAAAAAAAAAAAAAAAAAATATCCCTGCATTCCTTACATCCCTACATCCCTTACATCTCAGCATTCCTTACATCTATCCTTTCTTTATATCCCTGCATTCCTTACACCACAGCATCCCTTTCGCCCCTGCATCCTTTACATCTCCGCATTCCTTACATCTCTCCTTTCTTTATATCCCTGCATTCCTTACATCCCTGCATCATTTACATCCCTATATTCCCCCTCCATTCCTTACATCCCTGCATCATCTACATCCCTATATTCCCCCTACATTCCTTACATCCCTCCATCCTTTACATCTGTCCATTCCTTACATCTCTCCTTTCTTTATATCACTGCATCCCTTACACCTCAGCATCCCCCACATCCTTCTATGCCCTACACCTTTGCATCCCTTACATCTCTGCATCCCGTACATCCCTGCATCCCTTATGCACCTTACCAGAGATTTTAAAATCGTGATAAATTTAGTTCCAATTTTCACTGCCAGATGGCGCTGATTCGACGTTGAAATTTTAGTTCACATTTTTGCCGCTAGAGGGCCAAAATTGCTACTTGATTTAGTTCCTTTTTCTGAAACCAGATGGCGCTGATTCGAGGTCGAGATTTTAGTTCACATTTTTCCCGCTAGAGGGCCAAAATTACTACTTGATTTAGTTCCTTTTTTCGAAACCAGATGGCGCTGATTCTACATCGAGATTTTAGTTCACATTTTTCCCGCTAGAGGGCCAAAATTGCTACTTGATTTAGTTCCTTTTTTTGAAACCAGATGGCGCTGATTCGACATCGAGATTTTAGTTCACATTTTTCCCGCTAGAGGGCCAAAATTGCTACTTGATTTAGTTCCTTTTCTTAAAACCAGATGGCGCTGATTCGACATCGAGATTTTAGTTCACATTTTTCCCGCTAGATGGCCAAAATTACGGCAAGCTTTAGTTCCTTTTCTTGAAACCAGATGGCGCTGATATGAAATGTAAGGGATGCTGAGGTGTAAGGGATGCAGAGATATAAAGAAAGGAGAGATGTAAGGAATGGACAGATGTAAAGGGTGCAGGGATGTAAGGAATGTAGGGATGTAGACGATGCAGTGATGTAAGGAATGCAGGGATATAAAGAAAGGATAGATGTAAGGAATGCGGAGATGTAAAGGATGCAGGGGTGAAAGGGATGCGGAGATATAAAGAAAGGAGAGATGTAAGGAATGGACAGATGTAAAGGATGCAGGGATGTAAGGAATGTAGGGATGTAGACGATGCAATGATGTAAGGAATGCAGGGATATAAAGAAAGGAGAGATGTAAGGAATGCGGAGATGTAAAGGATGCAGGGGTGAAGGGGATGCTGTGGTGTAAGGGATGCAGAGATATAAAGAAAGGAGATATGTAAGGAATGATGAGATGTAAGGGATGTGGGGATGTGAATATTTTTTTTTTTTTTTTTTTAACGTGGGGAAATCTTGCATAAGACCCCCCACCGTCCCCTGGGAGAGGGCGGCGGGGGAGTGTCAGATTCCTACTGACTAAAACCCCACGGCGACCAACATTGGCGCTAAAGAAGTGCTCTGGGACCTTACGCCCTTAGCACATAGGTGCCAATTTAGAGTACTTTGCATGTGGCCGACACCGGGGGTCACACCCTGTGTCGGCCTCTTCTTAAACTGTATGCAATGGCGTCTGGAGCTCCCACTCCTAACGCCATTTGTTTTCGAATTTCTACGCTTAATATTATTATAATATTGTAATTAAAAATGTTAATATAATATAATTTAAGATCTGATTTCAATTCTAAGAATAAAATTATTATTTTTCTTTTTTAGAATATAAATCACCTACTGACCGTGGCGAAAGCTACTAATTATTCTCATCAAAACCTAATGACCGTCATTAAGACGTTATCCTTAATAAGACCACCAACGTCCGACAGAAACAAATTACTTCGTACGAGTTTCTAATTAAATTCGTATATTAGTCTTTCGTTAGAATGAGCGATGCGTAGGATCCACGGGGCGTCTATAGCGTCTACGACAAAAAAGAGCAGCCAGCGAAATGGAAACTATAAGATAAAATGAAAGAAACAGTCTCGAGACTTTGCGCTTTTCTTATTCCTGTACATACTTACCTACTATCTTCTTATTAAATTTCCAAATCAACGGCCACGAAATATTTCACCCTTGGGTCTGAACATATTTTTCCATTTGTTTATTATTCCAAACATGCTTTCATTAAATTAACTTAATAATAATTTTTCTCATTTAAGTCCCCATTGAATAATTTTTTAGAACTATCTCTTGAGAACGATTCTCAGTAATATGCATGCAAATTGCTGGTACCATCCCCTAATTACATTGATCTTGAAATATGTTATCAAAGTCACAGTATTTAATAATTATTGCCCTACGAAAGGGTAGAAAAGTTTTGCAAAGTTGCAAAGTTCGTACCGGTTGAATCGTGGAATTCGTTCCCTTCGAAGGGAAGACATGTCATGTGCTCGGTTCCAGCAAGAAAAATTTATGAAGCTCCAAAATGTTAGGGCGTCCGTCATAAATTTCCGAACGAGCACGAAAGAACCGACTCTATATCAACGAGTTAGTGATAAGACCCTGGAATTTAGTTTAAGGGGTTATTGGTATCCAGAATATTTGTTGAAATACTCAAATATACGAAGGAGAAAAGAATTTCAAAAATTTCTTATAAAGAAACAAATCAATCTATTAAATAATTTCAATTATTTATCCTAAATTATCAATACAGCAATGAATCGGGACAATATAATTTCAAAAATCACATTTTAAGAGAGACCTTAAATTCTAGTGCATTTCTAGTGCATTTATTTGAAATTAATAGATCGAACACCATGTGCAATTATTTTCTGTTTGCTACATCGAGTAGCAAACCATGTATAAACAGTGTCAAATTACCCTAACACCTCTGACGACCCCGTTGTTGTTCGTCCACTGACGAAAGACCCTGTTTGAGAGATATAGTGGCTTGTATACCCCAAACTATCGTCCGAGAATGCTTCTAGAGAATCCGTCTCTGTCGCCTATACAGTGTCTCTCGCGTAACTGGAAACACTCTATTATTTCCTAAACTATTAAAGATACCAGAAATTGTACATAGGTAACGAGCTACTGGAGGGCCTATTGAAACGATTAATGTGTCTCTAAACCATAGAAATTTGTTATAATCAATAGTTTCAATGTCTATGTCACTATATTACACTTTAATTATCAAATAAAGGAGTGAAAATTTTTATTTAGGCTTTATTAGCATGATGATAATTACTTAGAAAATGAAAATAATATAAAGTACAAAATTACATTAAAATTGGGGCTCTCTCCATGGTCCGCCGACCGAGGGTTAATTACTTAATGAGAGCTAACCCTTTCGACCCTATTCAATCAATTTGCACAGTTTATTTTAAACTAATCTAACTATAAGCCAGAGAATTGTACTATCAGTTGATAAGTTGTAGATAAAGAGGATTGTGGACAGTTTGTTTCGAGGTGGCGTGAAACAAGATTCGCTGGGATGAACGTTGTCCTAACGATGTGATTTATCGTTTCCCATCACCTTCTAGACCTCCGCTGTAACGTCAAACCGTCCACAGACTGAAATCTGTGCAACGGAAATGCGAGCCGGTGTGTACGCGATGTTGGACGTTAAACGAGATATCGTGAGAGATCTGGAGATCTCATGGCTGAGGATAAGCGGCTTACTGAAATATCTGTTGGTCCAACAAATCACTAGCGATGCATTCGAAATCAGTCAACAATATCCCGACCATCGAACAGTTAATGGAAGAGAAACAGTACCTTATTACAATAAAATTAAAATTGAAAGAGAAGGTGAAACTTCTCAATAGCCTTAATTTTGTAAATATTAATATTAAAAATAATTTAAGAAAAATTGATGTAAATTGTTTTACTTACCTTTACCACTCTGCTCTACCTATGGACATTTTTAATGATTAAGAAATGATCTAATAAATTATTAAACAACAAGGTTTATTTATCCATATATACAAACGTTTACATGCTCATTAAGAGTTTCAACGCGACGTGGTAACGCGTTCGCGAATGAAACACGCACACTCTTACAAGACACCAATTATCCTCATTAAAGAAATAATCGACACGAGACCACAATGAGGCTGGAAGTACGGGAAGATTCTGACAAGGAGACGAACATTTAAGGAAGGAAATTTTATTGTCTATGTACAAACGTCGTAAATCGAGTCGTTCGTGATGATGAATCTGACACTCCTTTACTTATATCTACTTACGATTAATTAGTCCTGGTGAAAAATAAGATCGAAACTTTGATAGCTCAGCGGGGAAATCTTAAAGATATTTATTGTCTATTTACAAACATCTTTAATTGTGTTTGATGCTTTTGGCATGAATCAATCGTAATTTGACGTGAAAAGGGTGATGTGAGACACTTTGTCATTTACTTGGAGATTTAATCGAATTCAGCATTGTTCATTTTATTTCTCAAATTTTATTGGGCTTATGTTTTTTTAAAGAAATTTTAATCTAATGAATTATTACTTGAATGATTAGAACACAAGTAATGATTATTTGATTAGTATTACCTGCACTTCTCATTAGAGACATCAGTAATTAATTTCTTGCTGGTTTTCAATCAAATATCCATTCCTTAGCAAAAGTTATTGATTTAAATGGAATCAATGAAAAATTGTTATTTGATTTTATAATAAATCGATTGAAAATTATTATCTATGAAAATGAAATAATTTTTTACACAAACCTCGTATAATATTCTCTGACGTCACTTTAACCAGCCCATGATCAAGGAAAGGGTTTGCCAGGTAGTTCTACTAATAAATCCATTACAAAACATCCCTTCGATTTTATACAGCACACCTGCCACAACACAATCCGATGAGAGCAATGAAGCAATAGATTGACCCATCAATTTACGAGTCTCAGTCGAACGAGAAACCGTTTATATACAACTTTCTTGGACTCGAGAACTTCTCGTATAGATATCGTGGCTACGATGGACCGGAAGTGTGCTGGGTCGCAAAGGGCTCAGACTCTTCTCCGCCTTCTCCGTGTAGCCATTTGGATATACCCACGAGTTCTTAGTATGTAGCACCGATGATGGCGACGGATAATCAAGCTCCTCCAAACGACCGAAGTCTTTCGTCCTTTCCGGTTTCGTGGTCCCATAATTCGGCTCGAAGATATCCGGTCTTTTGTCAACCTTGTTTGGAATAACATCCGGGTCGTCGTCCCCCGCGTCGACCGGGATCGACCCCTTCATCTTCTCCCTCGATTCTTTACTCACAGGGGTTATCACCACCCTGCCCTCTTTGTTCCCGTGTTGCACCATTTCCGTGTGAGTTTTCATCGATTGCATCGGATGGCTGCGACGATACAAGGTCAGAGTTACACCGACGACCAGGATGCAGACGGCTGTTACACCCCCGGCGAAACAAGCAACCAAAAGGCTATAGTCCGTGCTCTCCTCCGAAGTTTCGCGTCCTGGGGACAGAAGGAATACGTGACTCGCGTAAGGGGATCGTTAGAAGGGTTACAAGTTTCAGGTTTAGGGGACGGTCTTGTTACGATGCCGGTAACGAGCTCCCTAACCCCTTGCCTTACGATTTTTGATACCATTCAGCAACCTGTCGCTCCATTAAGGATAATACTATTCTATGAATTTCAATTTTCGAAACAGTATTTATATTCTCTACCCCTTCTTTTATTTTATTAACCATATTTACCCCTGGGCAAAATTTTATTGAGAAATATATGTAAAAAGGGTTTTGATTTTAACCATTCGATGCACTGTGTTATAAATTATAGAAAATTATAGAAAACAAGGTTGCAAGACTTTTGTACACAAGATTTTTCTTTTTTTTAAAATTTTACAATAAAGAGCTGATTAATTAATTTTCTTTCTTGCCTATTCTTTGGATCTGTTTCAAATATTTCCCCATTCGATACACCGAAAGTAATTAAAGATTAATTCTTAATAGAAGAAGTTTGTCTTATCGGAATTACTTTAGGAAAACAGGTACGAGACAAATTTTGTCTTCGTTAGAATGGACATTCGAATGTACAACATCGCTCGTTCGGGAAAAGAAAAAAAAAAAGAAACGAAAACGTTCCAGACGTGTCCGGTAAACGAGATTCGCCTTTTACTCTATTTATTGGATCACGAAGGAAACGTAAAGAACTTCCGACAGCAAAGATTAAGAATAGAAGAAGAGACCGGACCACTGACGACGATAGCCAAGCTCTTTGGCATTCAGAAAACGCTTTGGTTCGTTAGCCAACGAACGTTTCGCATGTACACGATTTCCTTTGTGTACGTGGAATCGTTCTCTATGTTATGTACATACGTATTCCACAACACACATATCGGGTTAATTTGATTTATGTACGCAGCTACCTTTATTGGCAATTTGTAACCTGAGTAAATAGTTCGGAATGCACTAGTTTAATTTTAAATAAAGATAGAGAAGGAAAGGATAACTCGAATGAAAAAAGGGTTAATTGGAGAATACAATAAAGTACAATTAAGTGCATTAAGTAAAATATTATAAAATAATAACAAGAAAAATGGTCAAGGGATATAAAAAAGAGAAGCAGGGTTTATTGTCCAGAAATGTGACGTTGAACTGTGCAGTCTTTGCTTTGAAAAAGTCAAGCGGACGATTAATTTAATTTTCATATTTCCATTGTCTAAATTTCACCCTCTGTTCCTTTAAAAATTATTAAAAACAAATGAAACCTGCCATTTTGTATGAAAAGAAAAACAAGCTTCTCTAGAGAAAATGACGATTCCCTGGGAGAACCAGGAATTATAAAAATTATATAATTTAAACGATATTGGAATGGATTTTGAGGAAGTAACTTTTAATTTTCTATGTTTCAGAATTCTTCATTTGATTTTAAATTAATTACCTTCTATATGTTTTTAATCGATAGAAGAAATGACAAGGTTGAAGAGAAACCGGTTGGGACAGTTCGAAGAGGTGTGCAAAGGTTGAGGAAGGGTTAAAGGTGGTCCAAGGCATCCCGGTATTATCAGCGCCAGTTGAACGTACACTACTAACAATCCATGGTGAATCGGTGTTGCAAAGGTGTTCGAATACCGACACAGAGACGCCTAGATAGCAAACGTTCCAACACACACCGAAATCGTCCACGGTCCGACATGAATAAACCATGAGGATGGAAATTAAAGGCGATAAATGCGCCTCGAATGAGACAGCAGCGAAGAAAGGGGACTCGCTCTTTATGGGATTTTAATTCAGGGTCCACGGAAAGGAAAATACGAAGAAACGTATCGTATGGAAGAAGATTGCCAGTGAAAAGAGATCTTGAAATTAACACGAATACGAATATAATTTCACCTCCGAGTACCGAGGAAAATGCTTGCAATCTGACGACTATAAATCGTTTAACTCCTACTAAAGTAGACTTTTGTTATATTGCCATATGAACGATTTAATGTTCACACGGATTTTGAAACATTTCAATGTTGCTTTTTCATTATGTTTGTTGATATATTTCTATGTCCTTTCCTTCTCCAAATGAGAATATTAAAGTTTGACAAATTTTGAAATTCTGTGATATTTAATTACTGCAATTATGAAGTATTGAAATTTGGAAACGCATCCACAGTCTCGTCCATGGCAATATAACAAGAGTTTACCGTATAATTTAACTGAATTGTGGTATTAATGATTTTCGATACGTTCCCATAATATTTACCAAAACGTCATATCATTGTTATTATTTACCTTGGTCGAATATTCACTGTTAATATTTGGACTGTATAATGATTTTCATGAAAATTACATCGTTTAATCAGAAATACACTGATAGAAAGTTAAATCATACTTTTGTAGCCATCAACTCGATATTTTTAAATATATAATTGATTAGAAATTTACAAATTAAGAATTGAAATTACTATAAACTTTGTAGGAAAAGAAAATTTTTATTAAATAATTGCAAATATTAACCAGTGGTTTTATTATTAATTTTGCATCCCGAATTTTTAATATAATTATTACAGTATGAAAGGGTTAAAATTAATAAGTTAGTGTTATAAATATTTGAAAAACTCACCAGTGGTATACATAGCGACTCCCTTCAGCGTGACTGGTTCAAGGACAACAGGGTCACTACGTCCTTTGGCATTGACTGCATAGAGATGTAGCCTATAGTTACGACCGGGTTCTAATCCAGGAACTTCGAAAACCGGACCAGATGAACTGGATCTCTCTGTGCGGTTCAAGTAGATGATATTGACGTGATTAACGTTCTCCTCGCTATAGACCTCCAATTCGTAATTAGTCAAGGGCAAACCGCCATCAAATCCCTCCGAGCATTTGACAATCAACCAGTCAGCGTCTCTCGAGTCGGTGGCTTTAAAGTCCTCGTGACCTGTTTCACACGAGTAAATGAAAGGTTTAAAGAAGAACGTCGAGATAAAGAGTGAGAACTCTACAGCTGAAAAAAAGTCCCTGCCTATCCTGCTGTAAAGAATTAACGTTTACATTTTCAAAAGCATGGAAATGTCTGACGTCGGTTGAGTAAGAAATTTATTAAAGGGGGGAAAAAAAAAAAAGGTTGCCTAAAGCGAGCCCAAAGAGCATCGAGTACCCTAAGCAGCAGGATCTCCATCTCCGGTATCAGGCTCCCCTGTAACGAGAAACCCCAGACCCTTCGAATCGATCCCCAAAGCGTCGCCTAATTTCACGAATTTTCCCGCACGACTGGTCACCTTGTCTTTCCTTGTGTACACCAGAAAACAGGCTGTTGAACACAATACAGGCTGTTATCGATCGAATAACCCGTCATTCTCTACGATGGGTCAGCTTAATGGCACAGTTGACACCGTTTAGGTCAGAAGAAGGGTTCAAACATCGTGGATCAAGTGTTACTTACCCATTCGATACGCATAGGGTCCGGTCGACTGAAGTGCCGTACAATTTTGCAAGGGATACGGTTTCCCGGCAACGATGATCTGAAAAACACACGGCGTCTTTTGCACCCCTATCCGATTTTTCGCCCAGCAAGCGACCGTTCCGTAGTCCATGTCGTTCGCCGGAGTGTAATTCAGCCTGGACCCGTGCCAGTGGCTAGTGATCAGACTCAGAGGTTTGACATGTGTAAATCTATTGGCAGGCACATTCATCAGCTCCCCGGAATTATTGAAGGTCCAGTGGAAAGTAGTGGGCGGTGGTTTCGATTGTACGCCACATACCAACGAGATCGTCTCGTGCTTTAAAGCACCGACCACTTGAGTCGACGAACCTTCCTTGCAGATCGGTGCGTCTGAAAATGAGACAAGACACGATTCCGTATACTGCTCATCGTTTTCCTTTTAATTTCAATTTTAAGGAGATTTTAAAAATAGACGATTGATAAATGGAAAACACGTCTTTTTGTACTCACATAATACTTCGAGAGTAACAGGCTTACTGATTGATTTCCCTTCGACATTGGCTGCCATACAGGAATATTCACCGGCGGAATTTCTAGTCACGCTTTGCAAAACTAGTGATTGCCCGCTAGGAAGAAAAATTCCAGCAGTCGCATTCTGATGCAACTCCTTGCTGTCTTTGTACCATACCAGCTTGTACGCCTTCGGATTCGCTTGTATGTCGCATTCGAAGTACACGTCGTCCCCCTCATTTATATCGTTCGCTTTTAGGCTCGAACCTAGCTTGATTGTCACTATTGGTGCATCTGTGAATTACACATGTAATACAAATGAATAAAAGAATTTTCAATTATTTTGAAACTTTTTATTTTTATTTTATTTAATATTTCTCTAAGTATTCTTTTCTAAATTTTATCAAGCTCTGTAATGTGAATGGGAGAAATATTTCTCTATCTTAAGAAATAAGATTATAATAATTTTTAATTAAGAACAGTTAAGTGGAATAAAAAAGAATTTTCACTGCTCACAATAAACTAGCAGCCGCCATCTGTCTTCCAGCGCGCTGTCAGGTACAACTGGATTCTCTGCCCGACAAGTCAGATATTTTCCATCGTCCTCCATAGTAGGTACGTAACTTAAAATACTTCTCGTAATGTTCGGACTATCTGCAAACTACGAAGAACTCAGAATCGAAGCTCATACGCGCAGGTCGTGGATTTTCAGGAATTAAATATCACGAGTGAGGATGCAAAATGATATACTCACATTTCTAGCCATGTGTTTCACCTGGTGGTTTCCCTTCCACCATGTGATCACAGCTTCCGGTCTGGAACCCGAACTGACGCATTCAATTTCGTACGTTCTTAGCGCCGATAAATGTGCTCGCTTGTTTGTGATATTCACTATTAGTGGCTTTACTGGAATTTAATTTAATTTAATTGCTAGCATACTTAATGACCCAACCTAATTCCAGTAAAATTTGGTAAATACCAAGATATTCATTTAAATTTTCCTTTCAAAATTTATTTTAATTTAAAATATATTAATTTGAATATTACTTGAAAGGAACAAACATAAAATGTAATCTAATTATCAAATGACTTAACTTTTCCTAAAATAATAACTTTCTAATATTCAAAGTTCAACATGAAATTTCAAAATAACAATTCAAATTTAATTAAAAAATTACTATTTATATATCAACAATTACTTACAATTAATATCTAAAACAATCTCAGACGTCAATGCTGGAACAAGATGCGTGTTGTTCGCCTGACAGATTAATTTAGCCCTCAGGAAATCCCTACTTATTTTGCTGATATGAAGACCATTTATCGTGATGCTTCCATGTTCTAGTTTATACGTATCATCTAATATTTTCTCCTGAAAATGCCACGTAACCTTCGGCGGCGGTGAACCCCCTATTACTTCGCATAGTAAGAACAAGTCGCTGCCCTCATTGAAGGGTTGCAGCATATTGGCCAAAGTTCTACCAACCCCGGTGTAAATCACCGGTTTGTTTGGCGGCACTGTCACAAGGGTGAATTTATTTAGATTATACAAGAGAGCATTTGCACTTGCATTTTTCAATATTTTCTTATTGAATACCACCGGAATATATAGAAAAATGTGAATAATTTTATTTGTCTTAAAATAAAATTCAACCATTTTATGAAAAACAGATGAATGCACATGAATTACTACATGGTGTAGGCGTTTAGTGGAGGAGGAAAGGGTTTCGTCTTCCCGGACGCCTTTGGTTCGGGCCGGGGACCGCTAGGTGGCGGCGGGATGATCGGTGATCAGTGTTCTCGCTAGCGGTCGACCGGCATGCTGTTCAAATATACATATAAGAGTTTCGAATTGGGGTATGACAGGTGTCTGGGGCAGAGATTGACGAGTCTGACAGAGGATTCCGAAATGAAACGCCTTTTTCTCCCCTACATCGTTAAAAGTATACAAAAATAATTTCTATTGCTTATTTATGAAAATGTAAAGAAAATGGAAACACACTGAAGTTGATGTGATCAATTCTGAAAGGAAAGCAATTAATCCGGATCGATCATTAAAGGAAACACTCACCTATCACTGTGAGGTTAACCTTGTGATTTCTCGTCGGACTATTTTTGTAATCCATCCTGCATCTATACAGCCCTGCATCGGTTGCTTCCAAAGGATTGATTTCCAATTTCACAGATTCCACGTTCGTCCTCATGGTCGCCCTTTTACCGAACACGTATGGATCTGACCAGAACCTCGCCTGAGCTATCGATCTGCCGCGAGCATCCAAGCTGCATATTGGTTCGCCATCCCTCTTGTCTTTGTACCAAAAAACCATGCTAACCGCTTCGCTTTTTCTCAATGGATCAATGTTGCAAGGTATTACAGCTTTCAAGCCAACCACAGCCGACACGTTTGACATCGGGACTGCAAAATACAACAAAATAATATTATTGTATAACAATTCAAATTTGTCCTTAAAAAAGTATGTCGAAGAGGTGTAAGGTATTCTTATACCAGAAATTGTAAAAATGCAAAATATAGTATTCAGATATGTTAGGCAATCATTTTCCATTAACTGATAGTGTAATTATTCTAAATTTTTAAAATTATATAAATTTTCGTCGGTCTTTACGATCCCTATGATTCAAAGGGGAGTTAATTTAAAAAAATCTCAATAATTGAAGTTTCCATCACTGCCTGTATTTGACCGCGGAAGACAAACCAACGAAGGTTCGGGCGCCATAGATTTTCTTCCTAATTCTACTTCCAAACAAGGGAAGGCTGGTGAATCTGAGATCCCGGGGACCGCAACGTCCGATCCCGTATATTTTCTTGCCGCAACCGCAAATTTCCAGTTTTAGTCGGTAGCCGACCGAAAGCCGAGTTACTGCAAATTGGCCAAAGCTCGGTCCGACCAGGTTGAGGTGCATTACGGACGCCGGAAACAAAAGTTCCTAACGTACCAACGCGCGTGTATGATCAACGACCGCATGGATAGATATACAGCAACGGTGGAGGGTAGAAGGCAATTAATTGATCTACTTGCCGATTTATAACCACGCTCAAGGCGTTTGCGACTTTCTTGGCTTTCATAACTTCCTCATCAATCCTGCTGCTATCTAACCCCCTTCCCCCTTCCCTGTGAAATAGCGCAGCGCTAACCTCGTTACCTTTTTCACGTCGACCTTAGGATACAACAAGACCCCGGGAAATTGCTGTTCGTTGCTTGCCTCGAAGATTAATCACGCGCGACCTATCGATTCCCTTGCATGAATGTCCAGCGTTTTTCCGTTCGCATTCCTCTCACGAACTGAACGGGGTCGAAACGTTTGAAACGAGAACGAGCCGAAAGGCTGGATAAGAGGAAATCAGGTAGAACGTAGTTTGTGGGGCTTCAATGGGAATTATTGGATTTTGATACACGCACTTTGGGTAAGTGGGCCGTGTAACGATAAACAATTGCGTTCGATGAAATTCATGGTTGCTAGGAACATCGACAATTAATGTGAATTGAGAAAATCGAAGAAGTAATAAATTGTGAATTTCAGGTTTTTTTTTATAAAGTTCAGGGTATCTTTTGATTTGTAATTGTTGGAGGATAGAAAGATAATTAAAAAAGGATATTCTTCTTTTTAAGAGATGATAAGTTAGATTAGTATATCTACCCAAGAGAAGCCTATTTACTATTATTTTTTTATTTTCAAAACTTAAAGAAGTAACAATAGCTCAAGAAACTTAGCGTGGACACTCTGTACATTGCTCTTCCGTTTCTGTCTTTTACAAACACAACTGTTATAATAGTATTCAAAAGTTTAAAAATAGGTTCCACAGCATCATAAACAGTGTTTGTATTGTACTGCTCCACTTTTCAATGTACTTGATCGTAGGAACGTTGATGCTATAAAAGGATAAAAAGAGAAGAGGAACCAAGTTTTAATTAAATACTCAGATAATTGATTCCTCGATCAACAGACCATGCCGCATCATTATTACCACTTGGTATACCTTTCGATTTCGACCTGGCTTGATTAAGTACGAACCAATTATTTTAGACTTTGAGTTTGATCCAAAGAAGGATGACAAAGGGATAAACAATACGATGATAAATTCATGGTAAAATATTATGGAATTTTACATTTTATTCTGGTAATAAATATTTTCTATACAATTAATTTGCATATAAGAATATATGGAACACATTGTTTGGTTAAAATCCCAATTCTTTACGTCTCAGTAAATACCATCTTATTTCATGTTTTATTCCCGAGAAAGAAATTCCCGCGAGCACAAGCTGAATGATAAGAATTTCACGAAAATTCACCAACCACGGGAATACGTCGTATTGTGAGATGTGCTTCAGAGCTCATCAAATTTACGGGCGATAGAACGTTTTAGGTAACGCGTCTATCGTGCAAGCTCTCTGATGCGAATTTATACGGAAAACACCACTGGTAATCAAAAGTCCTTTTCTATAAAACCCTCGAATTTTCCTTTATAAAAGCCCATTAATAGATATTATATTAGATGTGAGAAGAAATTTACATTCAACCCTTATTTGGGCACTGGGTGTAATAGACTTATTAATTTAAATAATTCATTCAATACTAAATGTATAGCGATAAGTACATTTTTAAACATTAAGAAAATTTCAAATATAAATTTCAAAAATTATAACCTTTGGTGCAGGACTGAATTAAAATTTCTAGGCCCCGGGTCTATCAAATCTTTGAGAGCTCCCTTGTTTAAAAAATTGAAATTTATTCTAAATAAAATTAAATAAAAGGGGCGACAGTAAAATAATTTTCATGGGAAACGAGGTAAATGGTTGTAGCCCCCCTTAGATCTCCCTTTGACCCAACATTGCTTTGGCATCTATAATTATTTTGCCAAGTTTGGAGGAAATCGATGATCAGAAGGTTGCCTTGTAAGTCAAATAAACGCGGTAGATTCGGTATCTTCCCGTTGAATTATCGGCATAGTAGATGTACGCGTAAACAACGCACGGTCGAACGTTTACGAATTTGACATGCGTATTTGGGCGAGTATCAACGTTTGCTTGGCGGAGTTGTGTAGATCCGATCTCAGGCCGGGACACGTATCCTGTACACGCCGATCCCGCAGTAATTATTCAAAGCAAACGTGAGTTCATGTCGCGGACCGGTAATGCATCGCATTACTAGTTTCCTTGTATGTGCAAGTTCACGCAAACACGCACGTATAATACATACATACCGATGGATACGAGATAGCACGCATCGCGGACACTTCGATAGATGTGATCTTATTCAATTCAATAGGGAATCGATCCGATACATTTGTTATCGATAAATAGCAACGTATCTACTTTTCCATTCGCGTAATAATTTCATCCCCTTTCCATCCGTCAAGCCAACGATTTCAAAACACAAGTCAAAGGAAACGTCGTGAATTTGCTTGAAAAACCGTGAATGTAACGCGATAGCGGGTATTCATATACTGTAAACGGGTTCGAGATATATGAATATTATCAGTGGTTAAATTTTATGCCTCAGGTAACTCTATACGTAAAGTTGAAAGGATAAGATCGCTATACGATAAGTACACAAGAAAGGTATTCATACTTATATATCATTATACAAGGTAAATGTAGGCTTAGAGAATATAAATTATTAAAATATTTAAATAATATTGTATACTCATGGAGACATCGCCGGATTAAGGGGAGATCTAAAGGGGGCTTCTTTGCAAGGGGTCCCCTTATAAGCCTTTCTTGGTTGCCTTTTTTTCTACAAGTAAATATTATTTAATTTTGTTTAGAATAAAGAGACCTGAGAATCAAATAAAATAGAAATAAAATGAAATAGAATAAAAAGTAAGATATATAAACCACCCCAAAACGAATGCCCTATTACAATTCAATAAAACATTTAACCAAGGATACTATATTGTTAGGTAGTATTATTCAGGAGGTGAAAAGCTAAATGGAAGAAAAACAGTTGGATCCATCAGGCCGATAACGAGCAGTTATCACGATGCCATGTACTCGTGAGAATTCTCGTAAACACGTCCGCGGTTGAAACGGAACTACCCTGTAACCGAGAACGACGCGTTCGTTCCAACGATTGTTATCGTTTGCCAGTCTAAACCTGGAACGACACGGCGCCGCTTTCGCCGAGACTTTGTTGCGCAAACAACGGCATCCGTGCAAACGTAGTAACAACCCTTCCCCGACGACACCCGGTGAAAAACAACGTTGGCCCTCCGCAAAACCGTCGCGTCGACAAACACACGTCGCGCTGGAAAATCGTACAACCCCGACCGAGAACTTGCGACAGAAGCTGCAAGTAGCGAAGACAAACAGCCCAGGGTGGTCGCAGTGCAACGACGATGGCTCAGAGACTTTTGTTTCGTGCGTGTGCTCGTGGTTTGATCAAAGCTCTCAATTGTGCAGGGAAACGAACTTCTGGGTAAACGAGAACGGATAGTTTGAACACTTAAACTGTATCGCAACTATTCCTTATACCAGTAACGGATGAAAATTTCTTGGATCTGGGATGTCGGGGTTCCGATAAATTTGATATAAAATTAAATAGCAAAAAGGTTTAAAGTGGGGCGATGGTAAAGAAAGACATTTTCAGTAGAATTGTTTCGCGTCATTTTGAACATCCCCTTTATGATATCTGATAGTGTACATACACCTTTTTAAAATGCTCGTATGCTTTCTATTTTCTTACGATAAAGAGAAACTTAAAGTAAGAAGGATAATGTTTTCCAAGAAGCTTTCAAATAAATTTTGTTTGAGAAGAGGCACATGTTATTTTCTATGTAACCTACATTTCTAAATGGGTTGCATTTGGAAATGCAGCCTTCACGGCACACTTTCTGCAAAACTTTTAACATGTATACGATATAAAACCGAGTTAAAGAAGCACATTCATTTCGTATAATGGATTTCAAATATAAATCGTTAAGAATTAAACTACATGAAAAATGAATATTGCAGAAATTTATGAATGGTGGAGAAAATAATATGATTTTTAATTATTAAATAATTAATTCTGCGACATGACCGTTTTTTCTGGGGAAGCATGACTTAATCGTGAAAGTTTGTGAAATTTTAAATAAAAATGCAGGAATTCATAAGAATATTAATATTAAAATAAAGGAATAAAGAATTCAAAGTTTGGAGTAATTTTATGTGTAATTTTTCTGAAACACAAGTGTTCATTTACACTTGTGATGAATGGCGGACAGCATATTTAGAATAAACTGCAGGAAAATATAAATTCTGGAAGAGAATTTCCGAGAAACACTCTGCTTGACGTAATAATGTACCTGCTCTGCAAAAATTTTAAGATGGTGCAAAACTAATTATAATTTTTGAAAAAAATTCAAAAGTTAAAATTAAATCTAATAATTTTTATATAAAAAGGTTTTATAATCCG